CCCAGAATTTCAAGTCTGGTGGCATAAGATATTTTGTTACGAGCAGAGGAGTGGAGGACTCTTCTTGTGAAATATTTCTGGACACATTCAATTGTATTAAAGTCTGATATGCAGTGCGGGTTCCAGATAGATGAGCTATATTCGAGAATTGGTCTAGCAAATGTTTTGTATGTTTTCTACATATAATCCATTCCTCTTTTTCTCTTTTGTCAGCACAAGCAGGCAGGCAGCACCAGCAGTGACTCTGTTTCCCTACAGAAAGCTAAGAAATCTTGACTTTAACCACTCTCTGCGATATACAGCTAGCTGTTCTTGTTTCTTTCAACAGCAGGTTGTCTCATTGATAGTTGCTATAACTAGCCTCAATTAAGTAAAGTCATAAATATCATAACCATGTGAATAATTTAAAATACGATCTTCCTCATTCCCCCTTAGTGCTAAAAGTCAACTGGGCCCCCAATTTCTCTAGTACACCAATATTTGCCATGAGAAATTTATTTTATGGTAAAAGCAGAAGCAGAAATTCTCCAGAGACAATTTACTTGAATGTCAGTAAAGCATTTGATAAAGTAGACCACAACCTACTACTTGATAACACACTATCACTACCAGATGGATTTGTAACTGGCTGAACAACCACACTCAATGAGTTATCCTTAATGGAACTGCATCTACATAAAGAGAAGTATTCAGTGGGGTACCCCAATGCTCTGTCTTGGGCCCAGGACTCTTCAATATCATCATGATTTGGATTAGGAGATAGAAGGGGAACTCATCAGATTTGCAGATAACATCAAGCTGTCAGGAATAGCCAAAACCCCAGAAGATAGACTGAAGATACAGAAGGATCTTAACAGATTTGAACCTAGGCCCAAGCTAACAAAATGAAATTCAATGGTGAAAAAAATAAGACTCTATATTTAGACAAGAAAAACAAAATACAGAGGTATGGTACCTGACACAATAGTAGTAACTGTGAGAGGGACCTTGGAATACTAGTGGACAATCATTTAAATATGAGCCAGCAATGCAATCCTAGGCTGCATTAACAGAGGGATAGAATCAAGACCACATAGCGTTATACCATTTTATAATGCTTTGGTAAGACTACACTAGGAATACTGCATTCAGTTTTGGTTGCCACGATATAAAAAAGATGTTGAGATTTTTGAAACAGCACAGAGAACAGTAACTAACATGATTAGGGTGCTGCAGGCTAAAATATGAAGAAAAGTTGCAGAAATTGGGTCTAGCCTAATGAGAAAAAAAAAACCCCACTAGAAATAACATGATAACAGTGTCCTAATATCTAAGAGGGTTGCTACAAAAAAGAGGGAATCAACCTATTTTCCAAAGCACCTGAAGGCAGAATAAGAAGCAATAGATGGGAACTAATCAAGGAGAGAAGCGACCTAGACCTAATTTCCAAACAGTTAAAACAATTAATCAATGGAATGACTTGCCTCCAGAAGTTGTAGGAGCTCCAGCATTGGAAGTTTTTAAGAAAAGATTGGACAACCATTTCTTTGAAATTTGTATAAGATGTTTTACAGATGGCATTTGCCACTGGCAAGATTGGCGAAGATGTTTAAAGATAAATCAGCTAAACATTGGAAATGTCATCAGACACCTGGCTCATATTGTCATATGTGGTGGACATGTGTAGAAGCTAAAAAATATTGGACAAAAAATATGTACGTGGTTGGAAAAGATGATACAACAACATATTGATTTGAAACCTGAAATATTTTTGTTGGTGATACTGCCAGAAACTTATAGTAAAGAAAATGTATATTTGATTATTCATGCAATAACTGCAGCTAGAATTGTACAGTATTTGCACAAAAATGGAAAAGTGATTCCTACAGAGGAGAATATGATAAGGAAAATATTAGAATGTGCAGAAATGAATAGATTAACACTGGCAATTAAAGAGACAAATTGGTTATAATGCAATATGGGAAACATTTTATTGGTTAAAGGACAAATATAAAAATTAGAAATAAAAGCAGATGAGTAAAATATAGAAAATAGTTAATAGAGTTAAGCAAATAAAGAAGAGGATGTAAAGTATTAGATATTCAATATATTGATATTAAGAATAGATTAAATAATGAATATGATTGTAAATTTTAACTCTTATTGCACAAACATTGGTACCCAGACAACACACTGTTTAATGGAAGAAGGATTATTTGTACTAAAATAATTTTTTTAAAAAAAATTAAAAAAGAAAACATTGAGGTTATTCCATGAGGCTATAGTGATCACCAGTTTATTATTTTCCAATCCAGTGGTGGGTTCCTCCTGGTTCTGCCCAGTTCGGCCGAGCCAGTAGCGGTGACGATATGAACTGGTTCTCTTTGTTTGAGATCTGGGCCCTCCCACCCGCCACCGTGTTATTCTTACCTTTTATTTCTTCTTTTTTAGCCAAGCTAATTGGTGCAGCAGAGTGGATTGCCGCACCTCAGCTGGGCAGATTCGTAATGTGCTTGCGCGGAGATCGCACGCAAAGCGCATGCACGAAGAGGCAATTGCGCGCAAAGCGCGTGCACAAAGAGAACCGGTAGTAAAGCCGGTTAGAACCCACGACTGTTCCAATCCATTGGCTTTGAAGATAGTGGAATGTTACAAATATATAAGATCACATTCCTATTCTAAAACTTTCAGGTCCAAAAGAATTAAATGGTTTGTTAATTTATCTGATAAAATCACTGCAATATTTTTCTAAAACCATCTGGCACATATTCAACTTAATTAATGCTGATCCAATTCCTCCAGTTACTCTGAGCCAATAAATAGTTGAAATATTTAAAATCAGAATGATGGCAGGACATCTGTAAGTTAAGTTCAATTTACCAATAATATAGCCAGTTTGATATGGAATGTAGAACTACACACTGAATGGATAGGAATTTCGCAAGGAGAGCAAAGATTAGCCCCATTGATAATTACAGAACTGCTTAGAAAGAAAAGGGAATATAAACTTCTAAAGCAAATGAAGTTATTATATCAAACAATTCTTTAGCTCTCCTGACTGCCATAGATTGTAAAGACATAATGTTATTCTGGAAACTGATAAATATTTCAATTACCTACCTTTTCACATTACTCTGCAAGCAAACCTAGACCTTTTCATGCCTGAAGATTGAAATTATTCTACTTTCTATCTTCTTGATATTGTAAATTTCAGTCACAACTGTAATATATTAGTGTACTAGCTAGTGTGCTCTGCTACAAAACTACCATATTTTTCGGAGTATAAGACACACTTTTTTCCCTCCTAAAAAAGGCTGAAAATTTGGGTGCGTCTTATACTCCGAATGTAGCTTTTTCGAAGCTTTTTTTCAATCCTAACGAGGCATTAGCGAGTGAAGCGCTTTGCCTGCTCCCTCCGACTCTCAGCTGTGAAGGTTTTTTTCAGCCCTAACGAGGCACTAGCAAGTGAAGCGATCATTCATCAGCAGGTTTGCCTGCTTTTCCCATTGCTTCTCTCTCCAAAGATCAGTTCTGGTTTAAAAGCTGTTTTTTATCCCCAAGCAGGGGATAAAAACGAGCAAACTAATGTGCTGAAGCTGACCAGACTAAGGACATTATGAATACCTGGTAGGCAGAATTTTTTTTCCTATTTTCCTCCCCAAAAACTAAACTGCATCTTATACTCCGATGTCTCTTGTACTCCGAAAAATACGGTATGTGATCAGGCTTGATATAAATCAATTTACAGCTTGAAAATTAATGAATAGTTACAATCGGCCTCTCCTCTCCCCGTCTCTCCCTCAGCCTTGCCCCACAGAAGCCTATCCTATCCCCCTTCTCTCCCTCAGCCTTGCCCAACAGAAACCTCCCCTATCCTATCCCCCTTCTCTCCCTCAGGCTTGCCTCATAGAAGCCTCCCCTAATCTATCCTCTGCTTGCTGCTATGAAAGTAAAACTGAAACTGAAACTCCCCTCCTCTGCTTGTGTTTTGCATTTGGAACAGATTTCTTTTCAGGTAGGGAGGGGGAGTAGAACTCCTTAGCATCAGAGCATGTTAATAATAATATAGGAAATACTAATGTTCTGATGGTCATTTCGAAAAATCCTTTCTTAGTGAGCACCTAGGAGCCAAGAATAACATATGTGGCAAATTTCAAGTTTGTAGGCTTTACGGTTCTGGAGATTTTGTGATGATGCGTGAGTGGTATTTCGCTTTTATATATATAGATTTTGGTTGTTACAGTTTGAAAAGGTATTAGAAAGAGTATCAAATTCAAGAACTGCTCCTTGCCAAAATCAAAATTAAAACAACCCTGACAGATGCTGAAGCATCCACTAAAAGGTATCTAGCAAAGGGAAGCTCATTACAGTAATTGCTGTCAAACTGCTCCTTCTTTTAGGAATTTTTTTTTAACATTAAGTTAGAAACTGCTTTCCTAGTGTAAATCTGGGATACCGTATAAAGCACTCCTGGATGACAGACAAGATTCTTACTGCATATCCTTTCAGATATTTGAAGAATGCTATCGTTTTTCCCTCATCCCCTCAATATTTTTTTTCTCAAAACTAAATATTCTTAGTCTGAACATCTTTTCACAGACTTGCTTGCAATAAATATATTAGAACAATGAAAAAGTTTGTGCATGAAACTGTTACCAAATGTCTTTTTATATCTGGACTTGATAAACTTTGCACTTTAACAAAATGCAAAAGAGTAAACCTATTTTTAAAGTTTCAGTTATATTCAACTATAGAATCATATGCTGACACTGGTGGCACTGAAATCAAATCACTATAATTTTTCTCTTATGTTTCTCTGGGATGCAAAAAAAATGAAAGAACTACGAAGCAAAATGAAAGAAACATACTAGGGTAGGATTTTCATCATACAAGCTGATCTTCGCTTTTCTCCACTAAAAAATGTAAAACAAGAAAGTGTTATAAGTTATAGGAATCAAAATGTTGCTTTCACATCACAGAATCTTGAGGATAGCTTGAATATATACACATATGCAGACACATTGAGTATCAGTTTAGTTTATTTAAAATTGGTAGTAAATGCTCAAAATCACAAGTACATTTTAGTAAATTATATATCTTATCCCTCTCAGCCAATTTTCAATATGCAAAAAAGCAGCAAAACAAGTTAATGGAGCAATTGAAAACATATTCTTTGAATAATGCTAAAGACATACAAGATGAGAATAACATTATGATCATTTTTATAAATATGCAGGATTTGTTAGAAACCTCTTGAGTAATGCAGAACAATCTTTCATTTGCTTGTAAATATTATTAGAAGAAAAGTCAAAAAATAATCTGTATCTAATCTTAAAATTTAGATGACACAAAAGAAATTACATGTATATAGAGCAATGGGATGCATATCGGAGGAAATTTAAATGACAATTAGATATTGCTTCTGCATATATTTCTTGTAACAGTGAAAATAATATGTCCTTATTGCAAGGATGTATAGACTATAATCTTATGGTAATCAGTTATTGCAGACATAAACTAGTTCAGAATAATTAACTCTATTTTTATTGTTTTTTATGCATGGGAAAACCTGTTCATTTTTATTGGAGCAATGGACTAAAACAGCAATGATTTGCTTTTTTAAAGTAATGACTTTCTAAGATCTTTCATAGCTCCTGAGAGGATACAGAGAATTTTGAGCTTGTATCTATAATATACAACAGCTTCTTTACAAACCACAACTCTTGAAAGTGACATACAGATTAAGAATTCATAGCAAAACAGAAGTAAATTAGACAAATATTTCAAGAAGAAATTTTAATAATTCATGAGTTATAAGGCCTTATATGTAGATATATGAATTATAAGGCCTTATATACAGATAAAATATTTAATATATTTTAAAACTGAATTATGCTCATGGACTCATTAAATATGAGAAATGTATACTGCTACTTCCTGCCAATTCAGCTATCAAGACACTACATGGGATGATATTGAGACAACTGCTAATGCTGTATTTTTTATATTTATTGTTTCATTTTCCTTCCCATAGATACAAATAAATATGCTGTCTTCACGATTGCTGTATTTGTTGAACCTTTCAAGAGATACATCAGAAATATGGGGGTTGGGGGCTCTAAATAGTCTACTACCATGATGGTGAACCTATGGGACGCATGCCACAGGTGGCACGCTTAGCCATATCAGTGGGCACGTGAACTCAGCTCCGGCGCGCCAGCTGATTTTCGGGCCTTCTGGGCCTACCAGAAGTAGGGAAACAGGCTGTTTCCTGCCTCCAGAGGGCCATTTGGGGGAAGGCCCATTTTTCTTTCTCACCTGGTTCCAGATCCTCTCTATGAGTCTAGGGAGGGCAAAAACAGCCTTTCCCACCCCCTCGGAGGCCCTCCAGAGGCCAGAAATGGCCCGTTTCCCAACTTTCGGTTGGACAGGAAGTGACTTTTTTGCTGTCCCCAGCCTTCAGAGACTCCTAGAACCCCTCCCCCACCTTCCTGGCACACAATGGAGAAAAGGTTAGCCATCACTGGTCTAGTAGTTAAAGCACTAATTGATCTAGTGTTTAAGGCACCAGGCTAGAAATTAGGAGATTGTGAGTTACAGTCATGCTTTAGTCATGAAAGTTAGTTGGGTGATCTTGAGAGTCACTGTCTCTCGACCCAACTTACCTCACAGGATTGTTGTTGGAAGTAAATAAGAGAAAGGCAATTAGATATAACTCAACTACCTTGAGTTATTTGTTGAATTTATTTATTAAATTTGTATTTCACTCATCTTGCTGTCCAAAGTGACTCTGGACAGCTTACAAAAATATGGATACAAAACAGTTCTAAATTTAAAACAAATTAAAACTATGAAAGATTAAATACAGACTAAAAGACTGGCTCAGATAACAGTAGGCGGATGGTGCATTATCACTGCACCATCCGCCTTTAGCTTGCAGATTCTCCATCAGGGCTTCATGGCATCCAGCAGAGTCTGGTTTCCAGTAGGGTGGGGGCAGATCTCTCCTCCAGTGGCAAGTTGCTCCAATGGCAGGGGCCATGGCAGAAAAGGCTCTTTTCCTAGACTCCACCAGCAAAATCCTATGGCTAGCAGGGACTGCAGTAGGCCATTTCTGCCAGAGCAAATGGGGCACGGCAGTCCCATTGGAGCAAGGCAGCTCCTCAGATATCCTGGGAACTTTAAAGATGATAACCAACAGCATGAACTGGACCCAGAAGCAGATTAGCAGCCAGTGCATTTTTAATAAGTGATTTTATATGTGCCACCCTGGGGCCTCCCCATGCCAATGCATTCTAGGCCAATTGTAGCTTGTAAATATTCTTCAAAAATAGCCCCATGTCAAGTGTGATGCAATAAGCCAAACAAGAGATGACAGGGAATGAGTGACTGAGGGCAGGGCCTCATAATACAGAAGAGATCACAGTTTGCGTATAATATGAAGCTGCAAAAATGCTCTCCTAGTCATGACTGCCACCTGCACTTTGAGCTGTAGTTGAAATCTAAGAGAACACCCAAGTTGTGCATTGGGTCTGTCTGGAGTAGTGCAACCCCAACTAGAACTAAAAATAAAACTCCACAGGCACTCCCCTTAACAGAGTTCAGCTGAAGACTGTTGTCCCCTATCCAGTGCCCAGTCTCTAGCACCATGAAGGACAGCCACAGGATTATTTATAAAAATAATAAAGATGAAATATAATTACCATCATCTGTTGAAACCATACAAGTAGTCTTGCCAACTGCATTGTGCAGTGACAGCTTGGTATTAAGACAATCTCAACTTTGTGTCCAATTCTTGTATTTATGATCATTGCAGTGTCCTGTGATCATGTGATTGTCAAAAAGAATATTAGAAATAAATATAATTTAAAGCAATACATTTATTTCGCCAAGAGCTAAATATGTTTAACTGTATCTGGAGACAAACCAAATTGTTCCATGATACTGGCAGTTCTTTCTTTAAGCCAATAAAAGGTTGCTCTTTTAGAACCTTTGTGACCTTCTGTCCTGTCACAATATTCATTTTGAAATGAATTTGTTCCATTATTTCTGCAACTGTTTTTAGTAAGCTCAGCACAGGTTCTACTATGTTGTTCAACAGCGCAGCATTCATGATCAAGATCCATGTCATTAAGGGTATGTAACAAATCTCCAACACTGAGTTGTGGGTTTATACATTTTAAATTCTTAAGCATATTTTCTTCGTATATTCTTAATTGATTCAGCAGATCAGTCATCTCATTCAGCGTCACAGGGCTGTGTTTATTGTGATGATACCAAGACAGAAGAGCACTACAATGTGAATATTTGAAACAACAAAACAATGTTTACTTTTAAAATGCTAAAATAGACTGTGAATCTAGAAATCACCACTGTATCAATAAACATTTCAGAATGGATTCTTTCCAGAAAATGAGAGATTTGAACAAAAGCCCAAGTGTTTACTATGGCATGGAAATCCTTACGTGTCATTCAGTGGTTCCAATTTATCATATTTTCCATCTCTTACCTTGCAAACTACAGAGTTGGCAAAGATTAGTTCTAAGTTATTCAGACTATAAAAAAGATGAGTTATACATTTTATAAAACCCATTGATCTCTAGGGGGGGTATCTTTATTTTTACAACATACCTTATGGTTCCTTTGAGCTGGCTACATTCAAACATCACCTTTATTGCTTCTTTGTAACCCTGATTGAAGCCTTGTTGAAGTGTTACCCCTTTCCCAGCTTCAACACCTTCCCTATAGCCTTCCTTTAAGCAAAAGAAATAAAGTACAATTTGTTAGCATTTGTCTGTAATATTTAAATATAACACCAACTAAAATAAGTAAAACAAAAAAGCTTAAAAAGGTATCCTTCCAAATGATTACCAAAAAGAAGAGAACAAATGAAATTTAATTTCAGAGCCTGATTCACAGCACTTTATTTTAAAGAAGGCTCAACCATGTGGTATCATATAAGTATTCTTGCTAATTAAAAGATCAGTTTTGTTCTATAAGGTCATTTCCAAAATTCAATTGAGGTAAATTCTATCCACCTGGCATCTAGTTTTTAAGAATCCCTCTAAACAGAGAACAAGATTTATTCTTATCAAGAATTATGCCAGCATTCCATTTGCATTCAAGTTAATACAAAAGAGACAGAGAAGAAGTAATAACATCAATCAATATTATAGAGGTACTCTGGTTACTTTTACCTTGACTCGTTTCTCCATTGCACTCTTCCATTCTTTCTGGGCTATGTTCATCTCGTCTGCATTTTCATCAAATACATCTTCACCGCACTGATTAACTGCAGACTGTATCCATGACATTTTGCTTGTGCTGCTGATCCAAAAGAGATTAAGAGTCAAAGCAGAGGAAATCGAGCACAGTAGGAAAGCCGGGCGAACGGACTAAACCTGAAAAGAATCAAGAATGATTTGAGAAGCATTGGAGACATTAAACTCTGCGACAAAATAAGTCGAATCAGAAAAAAAACCATATTAAGTTCTCTCCTAGCAACAAGCGAACGAAGGCAAAACAAATCGGAGGTGTGTTTGTTCTACAAAAAAAAAAGAAAAGAAAAGATGAACTTCTCCCTAAATGACATATAACGCATTTTTCCCTCCTCCCCTTTAATCACCGACAGACCCGGAGCCAAATCTACCGCTACCCCTTAATCAATCTTCCTCTCTCCTTGCCCTCTCGCCAGACAACAACCCGAAGACCTTACTGCTTCCGGGGTCACAGAAGGAGCAGCGAGAGGCGCGAGAGAGACATCCGTAGCAGAAATGGAAGTTTGCGCCTGCGCATTGACTACATCACCTTGAGTTCGAAGGTCGGGAATACGGTGCTGTCAGATTGATAGATGTTGTGAGCAGGGGAAAAGAAAATTGCCCACTCCCGAAATAGCTGTAGATAAAACTCTGAAGTTGTCAGTGTCAGCCTAGCAAACGTTCAGCTGTTAAATGTTGAAGAGGAGGCCGCAACTGCCATCAATATGCGATGGTACTCGTAAAGACTCTGTGGGATCAAGTTCGGTTCCCAGCTGGGTTGCCAGCTAATTATGAGTATATCCACGTACTTTTCTAGGAAACAGCAGAGAAACCCTTTGATGTTTGCCTTTCTCCAGGATTTGCAAAAGTTGAAGTTGACAATAGTTATACCACCCTTGACCAGCTACCATGTAAAGATTTTCGCAGAATGAACGTGGTATCGTTCTCAATCGACAAATAGTTAAGTGTGTTGATGGCGTGTAGAAGTGGGAATGGACCCAAATTAATGAGATTTGTTGTTTTTATCACATTGTTTATGTCTCTCCTCTGTATACTCCACTTGTGTGGGGTAAATGCATCTTATTTATTATCTTCTCCAGAAAAACGTATGTTTCAATTAAATTGTTATTCTCTAAAAAAGTGTCACTTGCAGTGTGTGTGTATTCTGAAATTGCTCAGAAAGTTACGGAGGAACAACTTACTTACATTTTTAAAAGTTATCCTTTATTTCTTTCTCATACTCATCGAGATAAGTTGTCTAGATGAGTATGAGAAAGAATGTATGTTTGGTTAGAAATGGTGTTGCTTAATAGAAATTCAGTCACAAATATCAGTGATTTCCAGTCATTCTTTTTAAACCCAAGCATTGCTGTAGGAAAGACAGGCAAGAATGCTGTCTTGTCTTTCTTGAATTCCTGAATGAAAAGTGACATATAAAGATTAAGTAGACCAGGGTTTGGCAACCCGTGGCTCCGGAGCCACATATGGCTCTTTCATCCCTCTGCTGCGGAGAGAAGTGGCTGGGACTGATACTCTTGCTGGGTCTCATGGGGATGGACCCGCACCTAATCCTAACCCTTTCACCACCCAGAGGATACTTTTCAATCAATGCTGCTGGCAGGACTACTCTGCTGGAGGAGTAAAGATCAGGGCAGCAAGAAAAGGGGGCTGGCCCCACCAAACCTCGCATGCCCACTCCGGGAGTCAGGCTTGGAAAAAGCCTGGGCGCCCTCACGAAAGACACCCATCAGCTAGTCAACCCTCCCGCCCCATGTGCCTTCACTGCACTTTGGCCGAACCCAGCTGTTCACTTGAGGAGGGTCTCCCTGTTCGTACGCGCCCTCCCACCCCACCACAGCCGGCCAGGGGGTCATGTGAGGAAGAGGAGAGTCATCTTCGGGGAAGCAGCCACTTCGGCTTGTGCTTGCTCTTCAGCCAGCCCTTGCACAGCAGTGAAATTTAGTGCTCTTCACAATGGGGGAGACAGTATCTCCTCCTGCTCCTGGAGCCCATTACGATGTGGAACCACAATGCGACCCTGCCTCACTCGCCCCTGGCAACAGCAGCAGCATCGGGGACAGAGAGCAGGTTGTGCATCTTCCTGGCACCAACAAAGGCCAGAATAGCCACCGCCATTTCCTGCTGCAGTCTGTTGGGCAGCAAGTGAGGCACCAGAGAATTAGAACCAGAGGGACAGAGAAAGAGAGAAAGAGACAGACAATGACACAGAGAGGTAGAGAGAAAGAGAAAGAAAAAGAGAAAGAAAGGAAAAGAAAGAAAAAGAGACAGAAAAAGAAAAAGAGACAGAGTGAGAAAGAGAGAAACAGATAGCAATAGTGACACAGAGACAGTGAGAGAGAAAGGTGAACAACACACCGGAGGCCAAGTGTGGGAAGAGGTGGCTGGGAAGGGAGGGGTGAGGCAGGGACAGGCGGGGCAAATAATTTAACAAGTTCTCTGCCCTAATGACCAGCTGGGTAGGTGTGGCGGGGGGGGTCATGTGACTGGGTGGGAGTGAGTGACATTGAGTTGGCCATGCCCCACAGTCACACTGGTGGTTAAATTATTGGCTCCCGGTGTTTTCTGTGGGAAACAGGTCCAAGTGGCTCTTTGAGTGTTTAAGGCTGCAGATCCCTGAACTAGATCTACAAATACTTGAGCAAAATAAATTTGGTGATCCAAAATCTCTCACAAAGAATTTTGATTTCAAAATTAGGAATCAAAGACTTTCTGTCCAACCATATGGATGTTTAGTAAATTACTAAATTTTATGGACTTGGTGAGTATATATCTAGAAAAAGTAACTTTTTAATAAAAATATAGGACTGAGTTAGAATTCCATCAATAGGATTAGAATTCTTATTTTTCAGCTAATCCTGAACTTCAGACCAAATCAGAAGACTTTAGAAATAAAATAGTTGTCAATCCAAAATAATGGTTTTTAGGGGGTTTATATGCTATGTTCTAAATTATTTTTAAAAAATCTTTGGTTTGCTAACCAGAGCACAGTAGGCCAAATTGACGGATATGTTCATTCCCAAGTGGCATCTCTACTTAAATTCTAGTGTTTAGATAATGAGACATGTTCTTTGCCCAACATCCAGTAATTTATGGCCATATAATATTGACAAGGTTAAGGATTTCTTATTGGTGTTTATATATAACTGAATTCAAATATTACACTAGGTCATACATCAGATTTTACTACCCACTGGTTAGGGTCATACATCAAGGTCAGCTGGCGTGGTTGACCTTGGAGTTTCCTGGATTTGTGGAACTTTCACAGGGCATCAACTTTGTGCTGTTGTGGAATCCCCTAGCTGTTCAGCCCTTCATAGAAAGGGCTAGTAGCTGATTCACATTGTGCCGTTGGAACTTCCCCAGCACCAATGGGTATAGACAATGCCCTTAGACCAGTGATGGCTAACCTTTTTGCTGTCATGTGCCAAAAGTAGAGTGTTCTGTCCCAGCTACAGACCCCAAAGAACGCAGCACACACAAAGTCCGTTCAAACCTTGGTTTACTAAATAAATCAGTCTTTTACAACAACGGCTGTTAATTAACTGCATTAACAGCCGCCAAGAATTCAAAGAATAATAACTGAAAGCTTACTGTGGTTGGCAGAATGCCCAGAAACAATTTGCAGGAAGCTGATAAGATAAGCAAGACAAGACATGAAGGTATGTGAATGAAGTTGTTCCCTGCAAATTGCTTCAGTCGGGGTTCCTCCTTAAATAGGCTAAGGGAGTGGCCAATGAGCCCCAAGCCTTACTCTCAAGTAGACCTCCTCTTGAGGAGCCACTCCTGTCTTTTGGCAGCTCTGCGCGCCCGTGCATCGAGAAGAGGCTTCTCCTCTTCGTCCTCTTCTTAAGGGAACTTCTGGAGGTTCTGAAGGTCCTTGCTGAATCCACGCCTCTGGCACCACATCTTCTCCAGTCTCCTCATTGTCCAACTCGAGTGCCAGCTGCACAGGCTGACACCAGCCTCCTCGCTATTTATTTATTATTTATTGGTTCGATTTATATGCCGCCCTTCTCTGGAGACTCAGGGCGGCTTACAATGCGTTAAGCAATAGCCTTCAAACTTTTATATATACCTGCTTAGTAGGGCTTTCGGCCCCCCCAAGCAGTGTTCTTTTTTATACAAAGTCAGCTTATTGCCCCCACATCCGGGTCCTCATTTTACCTACCTCGAAAGGATGGAAGCCTGAGTCAACTATCTGAATCAGCTACTAGCTGCACAGGCCGTGTACAGGCCACAACATGGGAGCATGAGGGGGTTGCACGCATGCTGCCCACACCCATAATTCAATGTGCCCTCCTCCCACACATGCACGCGCGATACCCTCCCCCCTCCGCTTTTGGCACACAATAGCACAGTGGGCCCGGAAGGCCTGTTTTTCGCCCTCCCCAGGCTCCAAGAAAACCTCTGTAGCTTCGGGAGGGCGAAAATGGCCTTCCCCACACTCCTGGAGGTCCTCCGGAGGCTGGAAACGGTCCATTTGCCGACTTCTGGTGGGACTGGAAGGCCCGAAAAGCAGCTGGTGCGCCAGAGCTAAACTAGAGCAATGCTCACGGGCCCACCGATATGGCTCCGTGTGCTACCTGTGGCACACGTGCCATAGGTTCGCCATCACAGCCTTAAACAATGCTTGGAGGTGGAGTGAGTTATAACGCCCCTGTGGAAAATTGGAAGTGGAGGCAGGCTGTCAAGTGCCCAAATTTTGATGTTTTATGGAGAGGCTATAATTATAAATCCCTTCATTCAGCACCAACGGTCATTAAGCAAGGACTGCCTATAGTAGAATTTCTCCATACAAAGAGGAGGCCAGTTACAAGTCCTCATGCACAAATCCATATACATAGAAGCTACTCACAATTGCTGAATTTTCCTTTTTGGAAAAAGAAGTGAAAACATGTTGATCTTGTTGATAGGAAGAAGTATGGAAATGTGGCTTTCTTAAATATTTTGATTCCAGTTTCTTTTTATGATAACACTTTTAATCCATTTCCAAAATCCAGTATTCTCTGTGGTCCAGTTAATATGGGATATCATAAAATGATAGTTGATACTGGAGCAGGGAAAAGTTTTATTTCTAAAAAAAATAGTACAGCAGTATGTAGACCAGTGGTTCTCAACCTTCCTAATGCCGCGACCCATTAATACAGTTTCTCATGTTGTGGTGACCCCCAACCAGGGGTGGGTTCTAAATTTTTTTACTATCAGTTCTGTGGGCATGGCTTATTTTGTGGGCGTGGCTTGGAGGTCATGTGACTGGGTGGGCGTGGCTAGCTGGTCATGTGACCGGGTGGCCATGGCTATGTGTATAGGGACTATTCAGAGGGCTGAAAAAAGTCATTTCTGACAGATCCTTGCACTTTTGACTGGTCCTCACACTTATGACCATCCTCACATTTATGCCCATGCAGCATTCTTAATAACAGCTCAAGCTCAACCCTTCCA